TGGAGTCATACAGTAGATTAGATAAATCAGTTCACAAAGCTCCTATCTACGGATATAACCACGGAGCCATCTTATTCGTTGAAGAGATCTTGATTACAATCCATCATTCTTTGTCCACTGAACCTAAAAATGCTGCAAATTGTAATGGATAATCTGGTACTTGCTACTATCGAATAAATAAAAGGCAACAACTACTTCCTATTTTAACCAAACTAAACTTGATGTACAACGCTGTTTTATAGGGAAAAAGGACTTTTTTTCAACTATCCACGGATTCTGGCTGTTTTTGGAAAGGTAGCCCTCCTCATTATGCACGCTCTGATTTTCTCAGGTAGAAGAGATAGACCTCAACCAAATTGTTCAGCTTTTAACCAGTACTTCACGGTGAACATGCAATTTCCCAACCCAACACTCCAAAACGACCATTTTCCTGCGATGATGAACTGATTCCTTAGATGTGCGAATTAGCGAAAGTGATTCATCACCAGAATCAGATTATTTAAATCACATTTTGGAGGCGCTCCTCTCCAATTGCTCAGCAAATCTAACGAAAAGCTTCCGCCGTTTAGAAACTAGGTTGCAACCGTTTCGTGTGAAGCAGCTAAGTTGAAATCACTGCAGGTTCTTCAGACTTTAGTCAAAACGAGAATTTAATACAAAAATTGTTTCATAAGAAATTGCAGTTTATAAGCCATTGCAGAGCCTTATACATTTAGTTTCTTGGTACTTTAATCCCACTATAATAGGGCTAGACTTTCAAGTTTTATTGGAAGCTTCGGGCCTTTCATTTTTCAACGCCTGTCACTAGAGTTCCCGACGTATTTTTGCCTCAGCAATTCGCTTTGTGGAGTGTTCAGAGGTGGAAGATAAACGAGGGAAAAAATAGCGAATCGCCATGGCGGTCACTTACTTGCCTAACGTTTGGCTAGCAGTGCTGAAAATGTGGCTCAAAACAAGCCTAAAACGCCCTTTGTGCGGGAGATTTTTGGGACTAAAGCCAATTAATCATGTCCGATCAAAAAAATGGCTTTATATTTCATCTGGTCAAGCCATCTTTTTAATGATAGGTAAGATTTATTAGGCCAGAGGAGAAAAAAATGGCATTCAAATGCTAAAACTATTGGCTTTAGAAAGCAGCAGTCTTTGTTATTCAGGGAAGTTATGGAAATTTTAAGGCATTTGTAGATGATTCGCGGTATAGAAGTGTTCTCATCAAAAAAACTTCGGAAATTAGCTAAGAAATTTTTGAAAAATGAAAAGAAAAACACAGTGGACCTTAGCTTTTTTCAGTTAAAATAAAGCTACCCTAAATGTCCCTTTAAATCAAAGCCTAATTGACAATTATGTTTGAGTTGTGTGATTATATCAATGTTGCCAAATGGTATTTCGGCTCCACGTCTCATTCAGTGGTCAAAGTCAAAACATCCGTCAAAGGCAAGACGGTCAATATAATGGGCGTTTAACCGGCTGCTTTAGGTTGAACTGCTTACCGGCGAAAATCGTGACACATTGGGAAACTAGTCAGTGAAGGAAAGCAGCTGCACCTATTCTCTCCCTCCCGGGCCGCTTGCTTCTCCTCCCCCTACAGCAACCGAGCTGATTGCCGCCGTTAAATGCCCAGGCGGCCTATGGCGCCACAATTCGGACTTCTTTTGTGCATTGTATTGGCGGGTTTTAGCTACCGCTGTTGCTATTGCGGTTGTTTCAAATGCTTCAGCCCCACTCGGCGGGTGGAGCTAATCAATGTCAGTACGTACTAAAGCAACCTCAGCAGCGGGTGGCGTGTAAAATTAAGTTTTGAAGACGTGATCATGTCCATCTTGAAGGGATAACTTTTAAGTTTTATCACCTATGCTTAAGTTCCGGGGACGATCAGATTAGCAATTGCTTTCTTTTGCAATGTTTGTTCGCCAATACTACCTATTTGTGTGATAAAACGG